TCTATGATTCTATGATTCTATGCATATTCTCTGTAATTTATTAGAAGGGTTGGTCACATAGAGCAGTGGATTTGGTTTGGAGTTCTGCATTCCTACCAGATGTGACTACCCAACAAGATTAGTCGGAGAGGCTCGTGGCAGCTATACCATTTCCCACGGGGAATAGTTGGTGTACTCAGCAGGTGACCTTACCTCCGCAATCCTGGTAATGGCTGCCAGGTTCCTGCGGATTTGGAAGAGTCGCATGGGAGGAGCAGGTTTCTGACCTTCCTTCTTGGATGTCCCATCCTTGTAGACAATAAGCGGTTTGTTTTTGAACAAGCTCAGTAAATGTGCAGGCTCTTTGCCTTGGCTGACTCGGATCTGTACATATGTAAAGAAATGCAATAAACGAAACAAAAGGACATAAGTAGTTATTTTTGGTCTTTGTTGAATAGCATAGGGGATGTTAGCCAATAATGCTAAATATGTTAGCACGAATGAAAAGTGGCAAGCTGAGATGATCTAAAAATATAGTTCCAGACACATTAAAGTTAGAGCATTTGTGAAATTTTTTGTCAATCGTGCTGACACAAAGACAAGATTCAAACTTCTAACATAATGTTTAGCTGGTTAAAATGGCTGCTATCTACTGTAATAAGAAAATCACTCTTTTTCAAAAGAACTGTCATTTCATAGAGTTTTATAAAGTGAGTTAATTCTCCTGAAAAACTATCTTGGAAGTTTAGGTGCCCTGTACTTAAGCAGAAGAGAATGGTTATTCATCCTGTTCATTATTTCTATGTGTATTTTACCTGCAAGAGGATGAAAAAGATGAGCATAAATCTATCTTGCAGAGGATAACATGGATGACAAAAATGAACTTCCATTACAGAGGCAAAAGATGTTATCACAATCTCAGAAAAACATTGAGCTATGAAGAATGACTATTCTTAGGTTAATGTATGATAAAAGTTATTTGTATACAACTGTTTGTTCTTCCTTTATAACAGTACCACCCGCCAAGGTGGAGGGCTGCGGCTTTCACTCCCGGAAAGAAAGAGGAAAAAGGGGAATGAGGCATACTGCGTAGCCATCAGAGAAGTGGAGAGCCGCAGGCCTTTAGCCGTGCCCAGTGAGGCCTGGGGCGGCTGCGGCCGGGCAGCCCGGGCTGTGGGGCAGAGCGCAGGGCAGCCCAGCGTCTGGGGCAGCGGTAGTCGTGCTGGGCAGCAGGAGCAGGTGCTTTTACTTATCTCACAGGTGGATAGACTGGTACAGTTGCCTGATAAGGATCCCTTAGGATCCCCTAGGATATCCTAGGACACGTATACTTGTAGGTGCCAAACTGCGGCAGGATTTTACAAATGGCAAAAAAAAAAAAACCCAAAACATCCAGACGAAAAAAAAACCTGCTGAGGGAAACGTATTCCTGCAAAACAAATAGGGGAACGACTTTTTAATAGTCATTTGTACTGTAGTGCCATCTAGTGACCACGACATAGTACATTTAAATCTTTCAAATAATGCTAATACAGACGGTAAGCACAGGTAATATATTCTATGTAGCCATGTACATGCATACAAATGCACACATGCATATATACATATGTGTGTGTATATATACACACATACATATATATACACATATATATATTCCTAAATTCACTGCAGGGTAAAAGTATTTTTAAGTATCATGTCCATTGCAGTGAGATGGATCTCCTTCAGCTTTAATAAAAAGGCTTTTTAAGCACATTATTATTGCCGCTGTTAGTATAATATTATTATTACTGTAGTATTAGTATTGGCCTTAGTTATGAGGCAGGACTATATTGTGCTGAACTCTGTCCAAATATAGAACATGTGTTAGGAATATTTCAAGGAGTAATTACCTAGAAGTGTTCTAATCCTTTCTTAACATAATTTCCATCATAAATCATAACTGATTAATAGTTAAAAGTATGGTCTGCCATCTAAATTAACTGTACCTTGGTGGGTGGGGAAGCCCTTTACTTTGGTAATTAAGAAATGGGAAGCACAAAATTATTTCCTATTGCCTAGAAAATCTCTGCCTGTTCCTAGTCATCTTCCAGCTCTAGTCTTTCTGGGAAAAAAGGAGACCTCTCACCTCTCCACCTACCCGCCACTCCTCACTAGTGATGAAAGGAGAGACTAGCTCATCTCGTCACACCTTTTAGCTGCCAATGTCCTGCTCCTTGCCTCGCACATCCCATTTCTGCAAGTGAGGATGTGTATCCTGCGTTCATGGAGCTGCAAGCACTATGGGATGGGAAAACCCAAGTTACGTTCCTCACTACAGCAGGGACAAGCCAGACTCTGCAGCACAGTTCCTGCAGGCTCTCCCCTTCTGGCTGTCATGTGGCTTTCATGTGTCCCAGTTTTGGCCCTCTAAAAGTCAGGTGTCTTGTCTGGGCTAAACATCACCGCTTCCTACATAATCAAAAGGAGACAGGGGAGCACGTACAGGGCTATCGCCCTGTCAGACACCTGCTTCAGAGTGAGTTGCCCTCAGAGGATCTTATCCTTCGGTCTCCACTGACCATGTACAGTTTGTAGGCAGGACTAAAACCTTATTTTTAGACACTGAAAGTAGAAGAAAAGAAAAGGCAGTTTTACGCTGTGTTATATCTCTGTTCTTTTCAACATCTGCATTCAGAAAGGATGATTTAAATGGGAAATCTCCAGTGACTTTAAAAGGAGCCCACAGTGCTTGGCTCGATACAGACCATGAGCAGTTGATATTCCCAGTCTTCAAATGCTACCTCCTCCTTTGAGTTCTCATTGACATTTGCATATATTGTATGCTCTGTTGAATTTTATCCAAAAGACACTAACCTGCACAGCCTGACCGTTCAATAACCGATCCAGCTGAACAGTCAGAAATGCAGACGCAGTCAGTTCATCTTTTGTAGTATGGGCTCCTTGCCTAAGGAAGTCAAGGAGAATGGTTAAGTCCAGTTTCAAAATAATCCAGAGCTTATCCTGCATGACAAACGCACAGTAAACAACCTTGCATTTAGACGTGGTTCTACTCAAAAGGACATAAAGTCAGCATAAAATAATATCCACATGCTGGAGGTCTGTGCAAAGCCAACCAAACATACCATGTGTAGATGATCTGCCCTTTAGGGTAAGTGTAGAGGATAATGTAGCAGTCACCACCATAGAACTGTCCATACGTCTCGGGTCCTACAGGAACTCTGCCACTGCTTTCCACACGCCAGATCTGGAGAAACACAGAAATCACTGGAGAATGCTGAACTTCATCCTGAGACTCTTCAAGAAGCAATTTATTGTGTCATTCTTTGAGTGACCCTTGTTTCTGTTCCCAAGTGTTATGGAATAAAACCAGGAAGGATTCTTCATGAAGTAGATATATAGATACACCCTGCACCCACTGGATGAATGAATAATGACCACCAACAAGCCACTGCAGTACACTTTTCTTTGTCTTGATGCTTTAATGCCACACGATCACCTCATAATGCTATGTTGAACTTACTTTCTTAACATCTTAAGATGATAATGTGGTATGAATGGCACAACATTATGAGTCATCATAGAACTATTGTATCATTTGGGAGAGGCACACTGTAGTCAGATAATACACTGTTAGGCAGATTTCTTCCTATTTGATTCACTACAGCCCAGTTCAGTTAACAACTGCTCTCCAAAAACATACTGCTAAAATTATACAGCAAAAAGTGCTTCAGATCTAAGCTGCTTTGGCTCAAGCCTACAGACCATCCCAAGTATGAGGTTAGAAACCTAGAAAATATACCAATGAGACTGTAGATATTTATCTTTTTATTCCAGAATCCCAACATGCAGACCTGTATTCAACAGGCTGTGTTGGTACAATGCCAAACCAGCCCTGTATAGTCCAAAGATGGAGTGCAGTGGATATGGATAGATTCCTGCAGTGGGATATGGATAGATCTAGAAAGACTGTACAGTCAGTCATCTTTTTCTCTCTAAATCCAGGTTACCTGAGAGACACACTAGGGACAAAGAAGATTCCTCTAGAAAGCAGACTGGATACATACATAAAGACACGGAACGAATTTCTGACTCCAAGGGCAAGTTTTCCCATTCCAGATTTCAAGCTGATGTGAGCTAGAAGTTTTTCTTTAGGCTAAGGATCATATTTAAAGTATATCTTGAAGAAGTATTGCGTAGAAGGGGAAATGTTTCTGCTGTTTGATTTCTATTGATGACTGGTAAAACATCTTTCATAAGCTCCAAAAAAACATGACCTGGCATACATGATAAAGAGATTCACTTTCTACTTCAAAGTACCTTTTCTGATGGTAGAAGTAACACTGTCACTAACGTAGTGTTACTCTACACAACAGTGTAAATGGCAAAACATAGAGTAGCAGCTTATCCTGTAACAAAATAAGCTACGTAAGTAGAATACAATTTAATACAACACAAAAATTACCTCTACTTTCCCTGAACCGTCATCTACCATGTTATGCTGGGCAGCCATTTGTGGAGACTCATGTAACTTGGTAGCATCAAATTCAATCTGCTCAATTTTAGCCACTCTCTCTGTGACATATACTTTGCCAAAGCCATCACTTTGATCTTTATCCTTCCAGTCTTTGAAAAATTGTTTGAAAATTGGCGTTTCACCTCCTTCAGGAAGGACTTGAATCTGAAATGAAGCAAGACGCATGAAATGGAAGGAAAACAAAACTGACACGATTACTCGAACAGAAACTTTTCTGAATTATCTGTTAGTCAAACATTGCCCTTATGTCTTTTAAGTCCTTAATTTTTTTTTTTTTCTGATTTAAAAATAAAATCTTTAACAGAGCTCATGCTCTTCTGGTGTCATCTCATAAATAGATCTCACCTGTGTGTTGGCAGGATAATTCATCTCCTGTATGAATTGTTCAGCATTCTTCATGGCAGCTTTTCTCTCTTGTGGGTTAGCATCCTTGCCTGGTTAAAACAGAAGGATAACAATACATGAGAAAGGGCAATGAGCTCACAGATCCTGCAAAAACAAGATGTCCTTGAGGCAGGTTCTCTTTGACATTGCTCTTGCCTCAGTCTTGAACAAACACAAATGCTGGACATAGCATGAGCAATAAGATTGACACAAAGTTGAATGGCCAAAACAGCCACCTCAGTGGCTTTGAAAATGGTTAAAATAAAAGTTAAAAAAAAAAAAAGAAAAAAGGCGGCATTGTTTTTTGCTTTGTGTGCATTTCTATCAAAAACTGCTGTCATAGTATCTGCTTGGTTCAAGGTACAAGAACACCCTGGTTCTTTTCTCTGAATCTTCCCTTGCTGGGCTGCAATGTGGTAAATAAAGCTGCTGTCCAGAACTGCTGTCACTTCTTTAGGCAGTGCCACAGTCCGAGTAAAAGAAACTCCCATTTCATCTGGCTGGGCTGTGCAATTTACCACCACCCTTCCCCATCCATTGCTCCTTGTTCAGCCTTGCTCAGTGTTACACATGAAAGTCTCTGTGGGATGATATTGTGTATCAGGTCTGTGTCCCAGCTGTCTGTCATTGACTATACTCCAAAGACCTCTTAGTCTAATAAGATGCTCTGATAAGCTCTTCATTGTATTCCATTTTGAATGAGACTATTAGCGAAGTAATTTGCACTCCTCAGCTTAGTGGTCTGAAGATTTCCAGCAGAGATGATAACTGCAGCCTCCCAGTGCAAGGGCGAGACTCACAGACTGACGGGGTTTTTCTACACATTATTGTTACCCACACTAACAAAGTGAGGATGCACAGGGGAGCACATAGGGCCACATTCAAAGGGCCTAAATTGTATTTTATTTATTTTATGCCTGATCCTATTAGCTTGGTTCTTCTAGGAGCTGTCAGGTAGAGAGTAAAAACCAGGAATCAGGGGGTCAGGTAGACCTTACGCCATCTGAGCACAATGCTCCCAAAATTCTCTCTTTTAAAGGATGTTTCCCTAACTGCAAAGGAAGTTTTCAAGCAAAATGCTTACAATGCTTCCTGGACTTACTTCAGCAGTTTGACAACTGCATCGATTAATTATTTGCTATTGCACATGGTAAAAAGAAATGCAAACGCCACAGAAAAATTAATACACTGCCTCAGGCAAAAAAAGGGGAAATACTCAGCACTGGATGCAATGGCAGCACCACAACAATCCGGCTACAAGGTGTCCAGACCGAATTCCCCAGTAGTATTCTGGGAAATGTTCAAAGCAATTGCAGACACTCCTACAAGCATTGATGATACCACAGAGAAATATTCACAAGAAAAAAAGAAGCATCAAAGTATTTGCAAGCTTATGCTTTTAGTTGATGCCTGGGACACTCACCTTTCAATTTCACACCTCTCTGGAGCAATGTATGGAAATATAGTATCTACCCTTTATCAAAACTTCAGTGTCCAGATTTTGTCCCAGAAGATAGGGATTTGAAGACAATACACTAGAACTTCTAGAACTTCTAGAATTCTTTATGTTTGCTTTGTAATTGCCATTTAGATAAGCATTTAAGCACCCAAGCTTACAGATACCTCAAAAATAGCCAGGATCCTTAGACAAGACTCGGTCTTGAGGCCCTTACCCAAGTGAGCAAGCCCTGTCCACTGACCACACCAAGAAAGAATTGTGTGCAGGGTACTGTGTCCACAGCCAGTATTAAATTCTTGCTAGTGTCCCGAGGGTGTTGTGTCAACTCCTTAGATATGTCTGTGTAGCTTCTTCTTTTGCAACAGAAGTAATCTCTTACCTTTCCACACAAAGATCTTCTTTGCAGCGCCGTTGTCCAAAATGAAGCACTCCTCAGATAAAAGCATAGCCATGGAGAAGGGGTTTTCCTCTGCTACCATGGACACCTTCATGCATCCACTTGCATCTGACACCTAAGAAAGCAATCATTTCAAATTTAGATCAACTCTGGCTTTTACAACCGAATTAATTTCTGCTCCCAAAATCACTATAAAAATCAGTCGCCATTCCTATATAAATGGATGTATGGAATTTGTGTGCTGCTGGAAAGTAAGGTAGGCTAATGATTTTTTTTGTTGTTTGATTTCATTTTACATCCAATAGAGGGAGATGTAGTGTTAATTTTAGTGAGTTTGTTGGATCACTGTCTCACAACTTCTTAAAATAAATCTGTTTTTCTTCCACTTTCAGTTCAACTGCTCATTCAGTGAACACCTCACAGTTAAAAATACGTATTTTCTTCAGCCCCTCCTATATGCTCAGCTGAACTGCTGGAGTCCCTAGGTGTCATCTTCTGCTACCAAGCAACCCGCACTGAAGCCAAAGCTGCATGTACATGCTGAGCAAGAGCATTTGAAGTAATAATAAAATAGTCCTACACTGATATTTACAAGTGAAATACCTTGTATTTCATATACCTTATAACCTACAATTCTTTAATTGGAAACTGTAATATAAGACCTGTTGCAGAATCTGATCTGTAACCTCTACCACCACTGTAAGCTCATGTAGACCTTTAAAACCTTTTAAAATTCACTCCTGCATGGCTGAAAAGGCCAGTTATTACTACTGAAGAGAAGTTATTACTATTGTAGTAACTTGTCTAACAGTCTTTATTTCCTTTCATAATTGAATATTAATTTTAAATACACCATTATATCTTATATTGTATATTATGGGAGCACAAGATGGAAATTACCACTGCATACAACAGATAAAAATCAACTATTATACCTAATCTGAGGGCTCACCGTAGACCTGTCTTCTGACTTTGACACTCACTGTTACATTGCAGCACATTTAGCTAACAGAGCTCTGTTAGCAGGACCTGTGTACTTAGAGGAATTTATTAGATATCCACAGAATTTTCTCAGAGTTAAGATTCCAAAATTCACTGCAAGCACTTTTCTCTTCTCTGGTATTGTCTTACTACAATTTTCTTGATCACACATGCAGGCCTTCTTTTTCTTCTTTTTTTTTTTTTTCCTTTTCCTAAAACCCTGCTATAAAGATAAATATGTGCCAGATTATTTTGCAAGAATGGAAAGATTAATGGGAACTAAACACAGCACATAGACAACAAGGTCTAAAAATGGCCTTGTAACAATGATCACCTCATATAGGCTTCTTGTAAAGCCCAGCCACACATATGGGCAGGGGAAGAATCACGTAACAGGCAGGGAGAGAGGTGGCTCCATCCTGCTGTGGTCTGTGGGATGCAGGAGCTGCGGAGGGAGTGACTCGCCCTCTCTCACACGTCACAGCAGCTTCGAAGCTATGTAGATGGCACCTAAAAAGTCACACACATGGGGATCCAGTAGCACTTAGTGGTGTCAGAGCGTTGCCACTTGTTGACCAAACCCTTCTTGTTAAGTGACTATGGGGAATGGAAGAAAGTACATTGAATGCCAGTAAAAGATTCTTTTTTGTCACACAAGGCAACCTCATTGCGTGAGCCAGAGCACAAAGTGCTGAAGAGAAAGGTCCAGATCTCAATGCTAATGAGAGCTTGTAAAAAAAAAATTCTTCTTGCAGTCTTCAGGAGAAAATAATCTTTTTTTATTGGGAGTGGGGAGGATAAAGTCTTTTCTAGATTTCATTAAAAACATCCCCCTTTCCCAAATACTTTCTCACTTCTTTTCTCAAGTGGGAGAATATGAAAGAAAGGGGAGCTGTGAAAAAAAAAAAAAAAAGAGAGAAAATACAGGCCTGGAAATAGTTTGGTTTTTTTTCAGAAAAAGAAATAGTTGTGTAGCCTTGTATATAGGTAAGATACTGTATTGTTAGTTCGAAGAATAAATTCCATGCCTCTTCTAGGAAAAGGCAATATGCCTTGCATGATGTGAGGAAAATCATAACTTTACTGAATGTAATCATAAAACTCCTACTGATTTAAATGGAGTAAATATTTAATCCATTTTGTTTACAGGTAATTGTTTCTGGCAGTGGCACTGTCCTAGTCAGTGTTAAGCCATTGCAGGTGAGGAAGGAGGAAAAGGGCACTGCAAATTAAAGGAGTTTTGCATTCAAATTTCTTTGGATTTATACATAAAATATAACATAACTGTCCATATCTCAAACTTTGCTAAGAATAAATAAATCATATATGACTACTAAAACTCTCACAGTTAAAATCAAGAGACAGGAAATATAGTTTGATTTAAGACCAGTTAATTCTTCTTTGACCTGCACTGAGTGGTTCGTAGGCCATGCTTGTTTCCTGAGTAAACAGGACTGTAATCCTTTTTTTTTCCTCAAATTACCTGGGCTGTCTTGATTGACATCCTTTGAGAAACTTGTCCATTGGCTGCAAATCAACTAACACAACTCCAGTTCTGTAACTGAAGCCAGAACTCCATGTATGAGGGATGAATGAATGCATGAATGCTGTTGAGTGTACTGTACTAAAATAAATAAATAAATTACCATATATAGTTTAGCGCTTCTCCTGTTTGTAATATCTGCCAGCTCATCATCATCATCATCACACTCGGGAAGCGCTGGCTTGCTCCCTAAAACCTGTACAACAAGACAATAACAAATTCAATGCAGAGAGAGAGTAGGTGCTGTAGTATAAATACCTAAACACTGTAATGTGTTGGCCCAGTAATTGATTAATCGGGATCATCTTTCCATATAATCCAATCTAAATCCAAACTCATGGGTGACTTGTTCACAAACATATGGATAATTTTAGATAACTGTGTCAGATCTCCAGCAGCTTTAGATCTACATGCTGTCTTTCCTGCAGGTCAACTTGCTGGTCGTCTATAGACTAGGACAGGAAATGATATATATGGAAAAGCTTTAAAGGATACATACACACACAAATACACAGAATAGAAAGGTTTATGTGATCCTATTCTATGTGTGTGTTTATATGCCTGTCTGCCCCTTTTCCTCCCGGTAACTTCTGAACTGTCGGCAAGCACATCTTACAATTTTTGGAATGACATTACTCTTAAAATGTTTAACAATACTAGAATTAAAGCTAACAAAGTGAAATATATGAATTGAAATTATATTTTAAAATATTTTAATTGACAATATAAAGTATCAGATTATGAGTTCAAAAATCTTAAAAATTACAGATTCTTAACCCCATTTTAAGGGAGGAAAATTAGCTAAGGTCTTGAAAAAATTTTATGGGGTAAGAAAAACATTTTCTTGCTCCACGACCAGAATATCGATTTTAACACTGTGGTTACATCATAGTAGTTTTACACCATAGGTAATGTTATAACAACTATCACTACAAGAAATTTACAGAGGTTCATCAAGAATATGTTACGGTCAGGTAGTCGTTATTAGATCCTAGTTACCCTTTCTTAATGATCTTTCCTTAATGATTCATATATGACCAGATGGAAGTGTTACATACAGAATATTACGGATTTCTATGAAATTATGTCCCAGAGTGAAGGTAGTAGTAATTGATACGTCTGAGTAACTAAATATTAACATCAAGTACAAGGGCAGTGACAGCCTTCCTATTGACGCAGTGCATTTCCATGTAACATGGAGTCACATGCAAAAACACTGTAAATATTTGATAAGAGGGAAGCCTGACAAAGCATACAGCTGCAAAGAATTTGGAAAAAAACCAATATAGCCTATTTTATATTTAAGATAAATCTGCCATCTGTGCAGTTTCCTGATCTGGTAAAGCCGGTAAAATAGTTAAAAAAAAAAAAAAAAAAAAGCCTTGTTAAGTGTGATTGCTGCAGTTCAAGCTAAAATATTTCACTTGTGACTTGTTGAAGACAAGAAAGTAATGCCCTGAGTGTTTAAGCTGTAGCTCTTCAGTAGCTATCAGTCAGCATTTCCTGAATTTATGCTACATGGCTGCAGATTTACTAACGTAGGTCAAGTAGGGCCACGTGTTCATAGCGGAGTGCCACCATGTTGGTGAATGGCTAAAAACAGTGGGCATATGTGACATATTGGCACAAGGTTTCTGAAAATGTTTCCCTTCCTAGATTTTGACGCTAACCAGCAGCCTACACATAAGCCATAGAGCACCATGAATAATGTTGTCTTTGTAATGCAAGGGTCAGAAAATTGCCAAATAGGCATGCATCTTTATCTGAACAGACACTGAATAGGTTTGAGGGTTTTATAACATTTGACTTTGAGTAACAATTAAGAGGGTAAAAGAGTCCTGTTAATAAAACTTCCAGAAGTCCATACTCACTAGTTCTTTGCTTAATTAGGTATTTCCAGCAAAAAAATACATGAAAAAAAATACACAAAAATTGTGATTACTGATACAGTTAAAGTTGGCGTTTTCCCTTGCCGTGCATATAGAATACCTGTGGCACCACAATTATTTTGCAGCTTTGTTGTAAGTCGCTTAAAGTGATACAAAATAAACTGGTCTTAAAATTTTCTGTTTGCCCAGGGGTCTTTGAAAACTATGTGAGTGCCACTCTGAATATTTTTAAACAAGGTTAAATAGTGCCTGTTGGTGTTTGTGAAAGCATCTTGACAGAAGCAGCCTCTCTAGTCACAGCACAGCCTAGGCGCTCCACTCTGGTGGCAATTAAACCAAGCAGCCTCTGTAATTTAAAAATTGGGCTTTAAAATTGACCCCAGCACAGTTTAGATTGCTGGCCTGACCTGTTGGTGTCTTAAAACTGCATGTAGAAATGTTTTTCTGAACTAGATAGAGAATTATTGTCAGACTCCCTAAGTCTTATCGTAGGAAATCTCAGTTCATCAGTACTGGCACAGAGAGAGGGGTAAAAACCTCCTTTGCGCAGGTGCAGTTACAGGTATGAGATGAACTGCCCTGGAAAGCGCAGAGATGTTCTGGTCCTGGGGGAATCCATTCACAATTCACTAAACAGCAGCTTGCACAGTAGTTTCTCTGGCCAAAGCTAGCCCTGTGCTTTGGCATAAGCGAGCAGAAAAAGAACATTACTCATTTTTGAAATTCTTCTGCAGTTTCTCAGACGCCCCCAAAAATAAATGGAGAAGGGTCTTGAGGGTACTCCCTTCTCCTGCATTTGAAGTCACAGTTGCTTGTAGATTTTGGTGACCCTTGTTAAGAAGGGACAAGATGTGCTTCTCCTCCCACCAGATAAGAAAATCCAGGACTTGTGAAGAGAGCTGTGCAGCCAACACAGCCGTTAGAATAAGCCTTGAATCACTAACAGGTATGTATACCTGTGTGTGTTGGTATCAAAACCAGAAGATGATACAAGGTTAAAATGACCTAAGGCATGTAAAGACACCAATTGTGAAGAGATGCAGCGTGCACTATATATACTCAATATATGAAGTTATACAGTATGAAATACATATAGTCAGTACACTTCTGTATTGCTAGGATCAACTCATGTCACTCCCAACATGCATTAATTTCAGCCAGTTTGTCTTACAGACTGGAGGATGAGACAGATCAAGGAAGGAAAAATTCTGTGCTTAAACAGAAAGCAATTTATGCTGAAAAAAATGTTAAGTTCTCTCCCAAAGAAATGCCTTCCAGAGAAGTTGTCTTTCCTCCTTCTAAGGCAAACTCCCATGCTATGGCTGAGTCCACACGCAGCCACACGTATGCCTGGATGTTATGACAACTAATAATTTTATCAATAAGATTACGAAGTGTGTATTAAACAACAACTAACTGCTGTGCTGGAATTGGGTTGTTTCATTATCTAAGCATATGGCTGGCTGAGTTACAGCTCTCCAGGGCATCTCACCTTTATACAGATAATTCTCACGTGATGCATCAAAAAGAAAACAAATCATGCCAGCTGAGACTATAGTCAAAGGCTCCCAAAGTTTTTCAGCAAGGTTCCCCAATGAAATGACTTAAAACCAACAGACAGTTTAAAGGACATTGAGTCTTCTGATTCTTATCTACATATACTCTTAGTTTCACACAAATCCTGTGGTAGCTATATACACAGGACCTTGCCCATATAATTCTCCCTATACAGACAGTCAGGCTGCTCCACTGGGTCTTTACATTTTACGACCCAGTGTACTGAAGCCCTAGGCTGGCTCTCCTGGGCTGCTCTGAGGTTCGAGACCCTGACTCGCAAACCTGCCAAGAATTCAGACCCACAAATCCACCCTACACCCCTGAAAATAGCAATGCTCTCTTGGGGATGTAAAACAGCCTAGCCACGCTTTTCCCTGGATGACTAACCATATTGGCAACTTCAAACCATACCTCTCAAAAATACACAGGTGCACACAGAGGTTTTGAAACCACTTTTAAAATCATTATTATTATTATTCTTTACTGCAGTAGGAATAATCTAAAGAATAAGCATACCCATCCCCCACTTCTTCATTCTTTGGGCTTAGCATCTTTCTTTGCGGACTCTTCATATCACTTCACCTTATCTGCCAGATAATCTAGCAGATTAAGGTGTTGAGCCACCCCTCACTCTCTGTTGCTCTACCACAGAATAATGCTTATCTTCTCCCCACCATTGCTTCCTGCGTGCAGGTTTACCAGAGTCCTGGAGAAAAGCATGAGCAACTTTGGCCCCAGCGAAGGTGCAAACAGGCGTAGCGCTGCTATTCTGCAGTGATCGCTGATGTGCATGCTCTAACCTCATGGTGTATGTGAGGTTGTTTAACCACTCGAGGCTTCATCTGCTTTACAGCTATTTCAGAATAAGACGTGCCCATAGCTGGCTACAGCAGAGCCTACCGTGCTTTACATGGCTATAGCCTAATGCCAGTTTACCTCTCAATGAGAGCATCAGACTGCCGAGTTAGTGTTGTTTTAGCAAAAGTATTCATTAACTCCACACCTTTAGATCTCATCTATGGGGGCTATAATAGGAAGTCAATCTGCATTAATTTTAAAAGTTTTGTTTTTTTAACTTCTGTTAAACCTTTGTGTTGACACTCGTAGGTTAGCGCAAGAATATCATAGTGGAAACCAACAGAACATCAGTTCCTCTAAAACAACCGCCCAAGTTCACTCTTATCTTGTGGTGAACGCAATGTAGCTTATCCTGCCTGCAAAACCATAATCCCCTTTCATATCCTCATGTGCAAGAGCTCTTCTCTGAAATATCTGCACCCCTCCAGGCAAATGCAAAATACAGAGCCAAAGCTTTTACTGACAAGTGAAATTCCACTCCATTGCCCTTAAAAAAGAATAGAAGAAATCACAGACAAAAGGTTTCTAATCTGTAGGAACGTGACAAGGTAGATAATTTAAAATAAACTCATCAAAAGAAGAAATTTAGTAAACATTGTCTTCATAACTGGAGAAGCCAGCTCTGCAGCATAAAATAGTTGATATTGATTTAATGGGAGCAAGAAGTTTGAAGAGTTCAGTGAGGCTGAAAATCCAACTAGGAAAACAATACTTGGAGAACACATCAGGTGAAGGTTAATTAAGAGAGAAAACCAGTTTTGCACCGTTTAACTTGTGTACATTAGCACTGTGTTTGTGTTTGTTCTTACTATACACAGTTTGGGTTAGGTTTCTGGGACTGCAACTGAACTATTTGTTGTGGCTGTGATCCCAAGTGTCAGATCTCAAAAAC